GAAAATATATTAATATTAAATATCAATATATTATTTTTATTCAGTTCTGTGCAACAGAATAAGATATATTTTTTTTGTTGTTGTTGTTTTTTGACGTTTTTTTTCAGCCTAGCTGGTGGCAGAAAATGACAGTTTTAAAGTAGCGGTTTATGTAAGCCATTGAATAAAAGAATAAAAAAGGTAATTTTGAGTTTGTATTTCCAAATTCTGAATATTTTCTCGCAATTCCGAGACTATATCTCACAATTCTGACAAGAAAAATCAACTGGTCATTCTCTCTTTTTCCCCCTCGGCTCAGAATCATGAGTTTATAATCCCACACCTCCGGCTTTTTTTCCCCTCAGAATTGACAAACTTACAATGGTTGAGTTAAATCGAGTTATAAAGTCCGAACTAGGAGATAAACTTGCATTTGCGAGAAAAAAAGTCAGAATTGGTAGATAAAAGAGGTAAATGTTATAGGTTTAAATAGTAGGCTATTTCATGCTGTAACTGTAGGGCTAATAAAATATGACCCCTATGAGCTGCATATGTGAATATTATATAGACTTATTGTTTAAATCAAATTTATGCTTTAAAAGTAGGGTGATCACAGCAGGTTCAAACGTCTGCGTTTAGCTTCAAGTGGCGTCTTTGACGACAGTATTCTATAAAAATGATTTGCATTCAGATTCTGACATCCAAAGGCACAACAATACAGTTTTCTCTCTTATTCCATGGATTTGACCCGTTTCCCTCCGCTTGTTCCCAGTGTTTTTCTGCCACTGTTTTTCTGACGTAACTGTGATGTCTCCTCCGAATTGGTCTATTAGTTATTTTAGTACTTCAAATTAAACTATATAAAAAAAGTTAGTCAAGACAAACTTTAGGTTGGCTTGAGAAAGCCTAGCCTGAAAGTTTAAAGCAGTTGTAAAAGCCTGAGGTTTGAAAATTTAGATAGATGTTGATAACATGTTTCTAGCATGATTAGCATGTTTTTAGCATGATTAGCCTGTTACTAGTATATTGCTGGCATGATTACCATGTTGCTAGCATGATTAGCAAGTAACTTGCATGTTGTTAGAATGATTAGCAAGTGACTAGCATGTTGCTAGCATGATTGGAAAGTTACTAGCTTGTTGTTAGCATGATTAGCAAGTGACTAGCCTGTTTCTAGCATGATTAGCATGTTGTTAACCTGATTAGCAAGTGACTAGCATGTTGCTAGCATGATTAGCAAGTGACTACCATGTTACTAGCATGACTAGCGAGTGACTAGCATGTCGCTAGCATGATTAGCAAGTTACTAGCATGTTTCTAGCATGATTAGCATGTTACTAGCATGTTGGTAGCATGATTAGTAATGCTGCGTTCAAGTCCTCCTGGGACGTTCGTATACGAGTTGACAAGTCGTAATTACGACGTCAGGTGCATTCATAAACAAAAATTTACCGTCAACTACAGACGTTGCATCCATCGATTCCGCCATGTTTCTCATTGACACGCCCCCAACTCGGAAACTCGGGGCTTAAAGAAAATTTAGAGTTTCCCACTCGTAATAATGACTTTGTGGTGGCGTTCATGTGCGTTCAACTCGTAAATACGATCTATCCGACATGACTTGAACGCACCATAAGTAACTAGGATGTTGCTAGCATGATTAGGAAGTTACTAGCATGTCGCTAGCATGTTTTTAGCATGATTAGCATGTTACTAACATGGTGCTAGCATGACTAGATAGATAGATAGATGACTAGCATGTCGCTAACATGATTAGCAAGATACTAGCATGTCGCTAGCATGTTTCTAGCATGATTAGCATGTTGCTAGCATGCTTAGCAAGTTGCTAACATGTCATTAGCATTTGCTAGCATTTGACCCGTTTCCCTCTACTTGTTCCCACTGTTTTTCTGCCGTAACTGTGATGTCTCCGACGAATTGGTCTATTAGTTATTTTAGTACTTCAAATTAAACTAAACGATAATGAGAAATGTTTCCTTGGCAACTTGGTGAAATAAAAGAAGTTTTAGCTTTTTGGTGTTTTATTTTATTTCTGTTAAAGTTTTATCTTATTTCATGTAACAAAATTTTTGTTTTTTTTGTTTTTGTTTTAGTTGCTCGAGTTAAAAAGTGAGAGTTTTGTAGTCACATTCGTGTTTACTGTCGGATGTTTCAGGCTCGTACGGTGGAACAGGATGAGCTCGAGGCTGAAGGACGACGGTCGTTCGAGAGCCATGGCCAGATTCAAAAACAAGAGGATGGAAAGGTCAAAGCCGGACTCTGAGAGGGACTCGGGCTTCTCAGGTGTGTAACGGAGAGCTTTGGCTTCTCTTCTGTAGATAATGAAGCGTGAGTGTTGGAGGAGAGCTTCACGTGTGTGTTTCTGGCAGACGGCGGCTCTGAGCATCTGAGTGCGGTGGATCAGACGGACACAGACGACGCGTCGAGCTCCTCACGATCGCAGCTGACTCTGCAGAGCCTCTCTCCAGTGATCTTCATGAACAATGCGGTTCTAAAGCAGGTGAACGTCAGACCTCCTGTGTTTCCTTTGGTCCTCGCGGCTCTTAAGGACACACAATATGTGTAGTACAGCTTGTTTTGAATAGAAAGTAATGACGCGGCATTAGGATCACAGTGGACTGTTGTGTTGCAGGTTAATCTCACACCACATTAAGTCATATCTGAATTATAGATTAACCCATATGTGTACAGTACAAAAATAGAAATCTTTTCTAACAATATACACTACCGTTCAAAAGTTTGGGGTCGGTACATTTCTATTCTTTCTTTTTTTGAAAGAAATTAAAACTTTTATTCAGCGAG